GCCTAGGCAAGCTTAGGCAGGCACAGGGGACCACAGTTCGATCCCTGGCACCACACGCCATGCCAGCCCTGCCCTCAGGGCAAGCTGAACCAGCAAAAAAAAAATTTGCTTTCACTGTGGCATTTTCTTATATGCATATGAAAAATTTTAATCATCTTTATCTCCACACTTCATTTTTCATGGCTGAATATTGTTCCACTATATGGATATAGCACCTACTGTTAAACTTATAAGCACAAATCTATAGGGAAAAAAAAAAGCGATTTTTTTTCTATAGTTAATGTACCCCAACCCACAATTTCAGGAGATGCATTTATAGCTTATATTTTAATTTCTTTATTCTCCACTTGGGAGGTGACAGAAATAATTTAGCTTCTTCTTAAAAATTTCAGAATGAAATTTTGATTTCCCCTTGGAATAATCAGAGTACAAATCCTCACAAAGGAAAAGTTCACAGTCACAGGAATCTTCTTGAGTTCAGTCTCAACTTCACTTTATTTCTCAGCTTTCTCTTCTGCCTGCCTTTGAGTGTTTTCCTTCTGACTCCTACATTAGCATTGTTGTTCGCTCGGTAGTATGGTATTTATCTACTCTAGGCTTAGTCAGCTTGCCAGCAGCTTGCAAGCTCTCCAGGTGAGCAACCTTCCATGTTTACTTGGAGAAAACATTCTCTCAGGCTTTCACAGAGAGCAAATTGGTCAAGCAATGGCCATGATTCATCCACATGGCTGACACTGACAAAGGATTTACAAACGGTGGTACAGGGTTTCAGGGTAAAGCCTGAGGGGATTTGACTGACCTTGTCAGATACAAAAGTTACATTTCTTATTATATAGGTCTTGCTTTATCTTGGTCTTAACCATCCAGCAGAAAAGAATAAAACTGAGGTATAAAAAGTAAAGCCATATTAATATGCTGAGCTGTAAAAGGCTCAAGTCAATAACTTCTGACACTGCTAGTTCTATGGATGACCTACTACTATTAGGGACTACTGGACTATATTGGAATATTTTGCTGAATTCATGCACCTGCAATATTTAAATGGCAATGGAATACCCATCTCTGACAAAACTAAACAAAAAAGGGGGATACAAATGAAGGACCATTTTGTATCTGTATATACAAAATAGCTAGATAGATATACAGCTACTTTCTCTTAATTCAATGAGAAGAAAGAATTTTACTAATAGTGTTTGGACAGGATATCATATCTGCATCTTGTACT